CCCGAAAAAAAAAAAAAAAAACTGGCAAACGAAAACTATCATCAAGCGAAATGAATTACTGTAGTGAGGCGTAGTGTTTTTTTCATGCATAATACAAATTCTCGAGAACAACCGGGAAAGACGAATTAATTCAATCGTTGGGAACCGACGAGAATCGAAATAAAACGAAGGGAAATTTGCAATTCCTACGAATTTCGCGCGAGAAATCACGCTTTTACGCGTCGCTTGAATTTACGACTAGAAACTTGGTATTAGTTCAAAATATATTGAAATTATGGAATAATCTGAAGAAAAAAAAAAAAAAAAAAAAAAGAAAGAAAACGGGAAAAAGAAAGATGAATATTAACTTCCCGTGAAATGTTGTATTCCGTCTGATTTCTTACATGATAAATTCATTCGTACGTTTCTCTTAAGAACGAATCGAAGGTAAAGAAGAAAAGAAGAGAAAAGAGATTCGATGTGTCCGAAGTTTGATAACGAGGGAAATCTTCCTATCTTAAAATATAAGAAATAAGGAGAAACAAAATAAATAAATAAATAAAAGATCGAAGCAATCTTTTTATGATTATGAAGAGATATAGGATTCCCTTGTTCTCGCTTCGAGGATGATGGAAGGAGAGCAAAGAGAAATGCAAAGAAAAAGAAAAATACCGAATGACTCAAGCGACGGAGCTTTTTCTCTCTTTCACGCGCATTTGGTACACCGGTACACCACACTCCATCCAGATCCACGTCCAAGAGTCAACCAACCGTAGTGAAGCAGTATAATGATAATGATTAATATGATAAACGATAATCTAGTAATAAAAAAAAAAACTATTAAAAGAAAAAAAAATAAATAAATAAAAAAAACGTATGGAAAAAAAATTACAAAATGCAAATGACTGACGAGGGACTAGATGAAAGTGTAAAAGATCAGGGTGTCGATGAAAGATTGTAGGAACATTTTTGAAAATAATTGACCGAACGATAGCCAATCAATGATAATTATTTTAGTTTTTAATTTAATCGAATTATTTAATTTTTTTATTAACAAGAAAAGAAAAGTAAATTGTAATTTTAAATCAAAAATTGATATGAAATGTTTAAAATATTTTCATTCATTGAATTCATTTGAACAATATTTGTTTGAATTTTTTTTTAAGCTGCAGTTATTCTTTGGAAATAATTTTTGGAAATAATTTTTAGACAATTGATGGTGTGAAGAAAAAAGATATTGGTTCTTAATGGTGTGGAGAAAAAAGAAATATTGAAATTTATCATTGATTGTATTATCGTCTCAAACAGTTCGAGATATCGGTACG